GTAAACAGTTAGACCACGTGGTAGACCTCAGTTTGTCATGGTTAATCTGAGCCCTTTTGATTTACGAATTCCCTCGGCGTGTTAACTTCCCCATTTTGTTTCCTATGTTGCGTTTTGAAGTTACCATTTTATTGACTAGTCTACGTGACGTAAACGATGGTCTTCCTGTTTCACGTTGATTTTCTCTGTGGAAGTTCAAACCTCGGTATCTTTTCCACTCGTTTTCTGTGTTACGCAACGACAGACTGCAGTTGTTAAGCCGTCGCGAAATTTACTGGTTCCAATAAATTCTGCCGACTATGCCTGCTTTAAATTCATTCCGGGGTAATATTGCTTCAAGTTTTTGAAACGGGATAGGCAACCTGATGTAATACAATTTTGCCGCGAGATTGAAGGAAGCGTATAATCCCGCAAAAGACGCGGCTAAAATGTCAGGGGGGAGAGCAACACCTCAAATCTAACAGTAAACCTTCCGGTAACCTCAAAACTAAACCAGATCCTTAACGCAATTATAGACCTAACGCTAACCCAAAACTAACCACTAAACCTAACCCTAAGCCTGCCCCAAACCCTAGCCCTATTCTTAACCTTAACCCTGACCTTAACCGCAACCCTACCCTGACCCAAAAACTCGAAATACAACCCCAACCTCAACGCTTTACGTAAACCTAACCTGCAACCCAAACCCTAACTCTAACTGGAACCCTTAAACTTAACACAATCCCTGACCCTAAACTTAATCCTGAGCCTGACATTGACCCTAAAGCTAACCTACCTCTAAACTGAAACATCAAGTTGCCTTTTTCCGTTTTCGCTTCGGCTATTTTCCCACTTACAATTTCAGCGTCCTCCTTCGGCTTACTTTACCCGTAATGCAATGGCTCCTTTTTAATGTGGCCTTTATGGCATTCCCACCACAGTGTGGGATCCGAGCCAGGCGTTGGCGGCACGCCCAGGTGCGGCTTCGGCCGTGCCAGCCTCCAAATCTCTGTTGTGTTGGTTGAAATCCTGGTTATTGTTGTGTGGACCAGGGGGTGTGGTGGAACGCCAAGGTGAGGATCCGTCCGAGCCATCCACCTGCGGCCTCCCTCGTCTCCGGTCTTCTTGACTCTGTCTTGACACCGGGTCCAGGCGGGGGAGGAGGAGAGAGTGTAGGTAGATGCTACGCAAGTCTACCGGCACTATAAACCCCTGCGTAAGTCACCGTCCCTGCTCCCATTGCTGCTGCAACTGTGGGGCACACGGTGGACATCATCGAAACCGATGGTCGAACTGTCATTTAATTGCAAACTTCACTAAAGGACTACTTTCAAACGTCATTCTACCTGCATCAGTCTGTTTGCTCGTTTTATTTTCTTGGACAGGTTTTCTGTACATCTTCAACTCGAGTTTACTCGGGTACAACGGTTTCAGACTTTTTCAAAAGGGTTAAAAGGGTTAGTATTTCTAACCAACGTAATATTACTTTTGCCTCTTTAAATCGCTTAATCTTTCATTGATATTCTAAAGCTTCGGTTCATTCGTTTGTGCTGGTTTTCACGCGAAAGCAATCTTTCTGGCAATTTTTAATGAGAGGTCACCGCGGACGAATCCACGTGCATTCGATCCAATCCACCAACAGGATATGACTACGCATCTCTCCCGCTCGAGCTACATCGCGAAACCGCACTGGTTTGATCGGCCAAAGTGGTCTTTCTTTATCCTATTTTAAGTCGCCAACCCACCGCCAATCAGCATTAAATTTGCCATGGCCCTTTAAAAAACAGCAGCTTATCACATTGTTGCACTCACTGATCCGTCCTGTGCCACTAGTATAACCATTTTCTTAAGTCCTACAAAGAGGTGAGCTTATTGAGAAAAATTTATCCACGACTTCTGATCCAAATGAGTGAGATCATCTGCAAATTTTCCAATAACAGAACGCATTGCAAATCACAGCCGTCTAATGACTGCTGTCGATATTTTTCCTACCCTATTTTCGTCGGTGTCGTTTGCATTTGACTGAAAACA